GATGAGAGTTAAGGTTTTTTTTGGCAGATGCTAGAGTTTTCTACTGGGCTGATATTTTCGATAGCCTGACAATCGAATGAAAGTGTATCGATAGTGTCATCGATTGCTTGTGCAGCCCTAGTGCTGTTCTCCCAGTTCTTTGGCTCGTTGTTATTATTAAATTGATGGATATATTTCGTACTTAATGCAAAATTCAATCAATTCGGGAGGCAACAAGCGACAGCTGCGATTCCGCGGCGATGTCAGTGGTGCCAGCAGTCGCGTGGAGGAGCTTCATCACCACCAAGAAGAAAACAGACAACTGAAACCAAAGCAGCAGCCGCTCTCCCAGGATGACGTTGCAGCGGCGACGGCAGCGACGCCGGCTGCCCAGCAGCGGCTACAAAGTGGTAAACATGATTAATTTTCTGCGATTCTCATATAAATTAATGCATGTGTATATTTTAGGCCCCACTGAGACTGGTGCCAATACCTTTCTAGACTTTTTCAAAGTGGAAATGACACGCGGCTACATGCTGGAGCATGACGAGGAGCGTTATTCGGCACGCCGCCAGAAGATCTATAGCTTCATGAGGATACCGCGAGACCTGGAACGCTTCATGATCTATGGCATAATGCAGTGTGCCGATTCCTTTTTCTACATACACACATTTCTGCCCGTTCGCTTTCTGCTGGCCGTCTGGGCGCTGGTCACACGAACGGTGGCAAGGATTTGCCGGCTGCGCAGCAGCGGACAACGTTTGCTGTCACCCGCGGAGATCTGTGATCTGCTCAAGGGTGCCATCTGGATAACAGTGACGCTGCTGATGCTGCTCGTGGACACGAATCGTGTGTATCACATCATCAAATCGCAGTCCATCATCAAGTTGTATATTTTCTACAACATGCTGGAGGTGGGCGATCGTTTGTTGTCAGCCTTTGGCCAGGATACCATCGATGCGTTATTCTGGACAGCCACCGAACCAAAGAACTCCAAGCGGGAGCACTTTGGTGCCTTTACACATGTCATTCTGACGCTCACTTATGTGTTTCTGCACAGCGGTTTAATTATGTTTCAGGTCGGTTCTAGAGAGAGTTTTTTATATATTTTATAAACTTTATTTTAACCCACAGGCCACCTGCTTGAATGTCGCTCTCAACTCCAACAACAAGGGACTGCTGACCATTATGATATCCAACAATTTCGTGGAGCTCAAGGGTTCGGTGTTCAAAAAGTTTGACAAAAATAATCTCTTCCAGTTGACGTGCAGCGATGTGAGGGAACGTTTCCATCTGTCTATTCTGCTGTTCATTGTGATTATACAAACGATGAAGGAGTTTGACTGGAGCTTCACGCAGTTCTATGTGATGGTGCCCGACTGCATTGCGGTGCTGTTTACGGAGATTCTGATTGATTGGGTGAAGCATGCCTTTATCACGCGCTTCAATGAGCTGCCCGAGGGCATCTATCGGGAGTATACCACAAGTCTCGCCTATGACATGACACAGACGCGACAGAAGCACGCCTTCTCGGATCATTCGGATTTGGTGGCTCGCCGCATGGGCTTCATACCATTCCCATTGTCTGTGGTACTCATAAAGGCTATCTATACGGCCGTCTCCTTTCACAATCTGGCTGCCTGGCTGCTCTTTCTGCTGGCCTATCTGTTCGCCTTGGGTTTGAGAATTTGTCTAACGATTTGTGCACTCGGCAAGGCCTGCAAACTGATGAAGGAACATCAAACGGAACGCAATAGTTCCACGCCGAGCAGCATGACTAATATGCCTTTTGTTGGCGGCACAGCCAGCAGTACGGCACAGCCATTGCATCAGCCACCCAACAATTATAACAACAACAATAACAACAGCATTGCCAGCAAGCCAACAGCGGCAGCCAGCACGACGGCAAATGTAATTATGTTGACGCCACCCTGCGCCGACATGAGTCACAATTTCTCACGCTCATCGCTGCAGTCGACGTCCACGCCCAAGAAGGCAGTCAGCGAACAGGAGCTGGACGTGACCAACTCACTGGAACTGGGCGCCACAGCGCTGTTCTCCAACAGCGATGTGGATCTGGATGATGTGTGCCTGAACGAGCAGGTGACCAACACCAATACGAGTTCTGCCATCCAGGAAGTCTACCAGGAACAGGATCTGGCACGCAGTCAGCCGGATTTGCTGCAGCTCAACAATTCCGGCTCCTCCGGTGATGCCAACGGCAGCAGCAGCAGCAGCAGCAGCGCATTGACGGCCAAGCAGGCGGCCAAGCGACCGCCGAAGCGCACACACAAACGCTCCGAATCGGAGCCGCTCATCCAGAGTCTGGCCGAGAAGGCTGGCGGCACTTCGGGTGGAATGTCTGGCAGCAATCAAACGACACAGCTCTAGCCATAAATCGATGCTAAATTATTAACTCTTTTATCGTTTATTAAGTTGTGTTTTTTGATCTTTTTGTAAAACAATTTAGTTGCCGTTTTTGTAATAGCATACGTAAGGATAAGCGAAATGGATTTAGTTTAAGGAAATATATGATTTTAATGTTCTCTAAAAGAGCCAAAGTTTCTGCTGTTTTCTCTCTATCGTTTGTTTTGATTTTTTTACACAGTTTTCTTAAAATTTTTGAATGGCGGCTGATCTTAGTGTGACCGTGGGTTGACCGATTAAATATACCGTCCATCCTCCACAATAAACCGAAATGTACCTTCTCATTATCGCAATATACCGTACACATAACAATAAATAACAATTTATTGTTTGGAAGCTGGTTTTAAAAATGTCATGAAACAGAACAAGCAGATAAACATTCTGTTATGTTACCATCATTATCACATGTATTCAATTATGCCTCATATTCGCATCTTTATTAGTGTTACGATATATTGAGTGTCGGATATTCGTCGATATTCTAAGCCGATTATTAAAGTAAATCAATAATGGTAATATAAATCTTTTCATTGTTATTTTGTTACACTGTATATCAGTATACCGGTTATATCCGGGAATGGAATTTTCAATATACATTTTGAAGAAATATCACGCCAAATCCCAATAAAGTGCAGGCAAACTCTGCTCGTGTTGAAATATCGGATGGATGAATTAACGATAGTGGCATCCATGGTGCTTTTTGGGTTTGCATTTGCCGGAATAATACAATTCACCGCAAGACAAGAAGCCCCTTTAGTGAATTACATTTTTCTTTATAATGACGATGAAATTGGCACATTTTAATGCACTGCAAGCAAGACAATTTGACGAACTTTGCGCGCGACTTTAAATTTGTGTACGATGAGCCGAGGGCACAGAGGCAGAGGTCGAGGATCAGTTTTTGGTAGCGGAGCACTGCAGGGTCCCACAGTACTTCTAGGTATGTTTGGGCGCAGTTCTAAGAACCTCGAATTATTCATCGTTTATGTTAAGACTTTCGATAAAAGGTTGCTGTTTAGTGAATGATAAACACTCTGAAACTCCAAGAAAAACCCACTCGTATCGCTTGAAAACATCCAAAGGCTCTCCATATCGATTAATTAAATTATTCAAGGCACTTGGCTTGGCTTTTCGCTAATATTTTATTAGCATTCTAAGTAACCTTTGGCCTTAAAACTAAGCTCCATCCTAAAAAAACCTGAGGGCTAAAAATTGCTTTCAGCTTAGCGAGAAATTGTTTTCTGGATTTGTGAAAACGAAAATGGCCGGAGGACTGGGACTTTAGCTGGTTGCTGCTTGCTTCTCATGAATGAAAATGGTTTCCCGCTTTGTGTTTGTGTTTGCACGCGTAGAAAAATCAACAAGCTGCAAAAAGGGAGAGCCCACAGCCGCAACAGATTTACCCCCGCCTTCGGCTCTACTAAGATTACACGCGCGTGCACGCACAAGGACGCACAACACATCGAAGTGGAGTGGAGACAGGAGCAGGGCTTTGGGGCGTTTCGTTTTTATGAATGAAATTTTACGCTGACCTTGGAGCAAGCGCATCGCGCGGTTGCGTCAGTGCCCTGACAACAGGGGCAGGCACAAATAACTTTCGAAAATTCGGGCTCCGCCGAGGCAGACCCTGGCGCATGCTCACCATAAGCTCGAAAAAGTGGACTTCCCCTGCCTGTTTTTCATTCATGAAAATTCCAGCTAATTTCATGAATGGCTCTCGATTTTCTCTCTCTCTCTCTCTCTTTTAACTTTCAAGGACACTGTCGCTGCCGCAACGATGGCGTCCTTATTGATTTTCCCTTTTCGCAACGCGTACATTTTAAGCACACATTTTCCACGCTCGCTTTCTGCGTGGGCGTAGCAAAAGTTTATGCCCCTCTGGGCGGGTTAAATGTTACAATTTTTTGTGCTCTGTGTTTTTGCTTATGGTTCTGTGGTGCTCCACGCATTTAAAGTCTCACTCGAGCCCTGGCAGTGGGTTGAAAACCTGTTCAAATTGCCAATGAATTATTATAGCCATTAGCAGGGATTCTTGCATAATCCTTGTTTGGGGGGGGGGGCAGCTCAACTGTGGGTTGTGCATTGCTTTATTGTGCATCTGCTTTTGTCAGTAAATTTTGTTTGTCTTTGCTAAAGGATTTATCTGGCGTACAGTGCGTATGCGTATTTATTCTGCGGGAATTTTAAATTTTTCTGTATTTTGTGGGCAGCCTTAGCAGAAAGATTGTGGAGGTTCGTTTATGTAAACATAATTTTTCGGAGTAATTTGCATGGAAATAATTTCATTTATTTGTCATTTATGAACTGCACTGAGATTAAATTGTTAATAATTTACTTATGCTTATGTACAAATTGTTAAGCAGATTTCAATCTATTATGTGTAACATTAGGAACCTCTCAGGAACCTCATGGAACAAACAGCGGGAATAGGCCTGAAGTAAGCCACAAGTGAAATATGTAAAAATAAAAAAGTAAAACTTAAATAATTTCTAGTCACCTTTTAGCTTCTATATTTGGGTTTTGGTTTGTTATAAACTTAATCAAAAAAATCACAGCAAAAATCAATAAAAGTTCCTTTCTTGGATCTACAGCTTTAAATTAGAGTGTAATTTGGCTTCTAACACATTTCTTTATGCATTTTTTAAGCACGGCTTAAATACTTTTGTATACACATTCCAGCACTCCAGAACTTTGTTATAATGAACACAAATATAGCTCTTAGCCTACGTTTAAGCTGCCACAATGCCTGCAGCAATGCAAAACATTCTTAAAAGTAAGACTTAAATATTTTCTGGACATCCTTTAGCTAACAGGTTCAGTCTTTCCCACATAAACTTTAAACTTAACTAACACAGAGCCAACATAAATTCCTTTTCTTATATCTACAGCCTTACATCATGTTCCCTCCGCGCTTAAATAAGAATTTCCAAGCGGTGCAAACAACTTTTGGCAAAACTTACTGGCAAACATTTGATGGTGTAGGCTGATTGCATATCAAATGTGTGTGTTGACTTGGGTCAATACTCGTAGTTTTGTGGTAGAGCCACAAAGAGAGAAGAACCAAATAAGAAGCTTCAATATCCGGCCGGCAGCCGGCAGTCGGCAGTCGCTTCTTGGCATGCGTTAAAAATAGCCTTGAGAAAGTCAAGAGCAGGGCGAACCAAAGGAAAGTGAACGCTTAGTTTTATGAATGAAAGCAGCAAGCAGGCAGGCAGGCAGGCAGGCAGGCAGTCAGGCAGTCAGGCACCGCACCCAGCGTTCACCTTGCTCTTGACTGCCGCTTTACCCCATCAATTATTGATTTATTCCTTGGTTGGTTGAGCGGCGTAGGACATGCGCAATGGCTAGAGCACGGGCACCCAGGCCACACAGCTGCTTAGCTGTGACACATTGTCGTCAATGGAGCACAGCACTCGGGCGCTCTCAAAACTGTTGCTTACACGCTGACGTCAGAGGAGGCAAAGAGGCAGGAAATCAAGCTTTAATTAGAGCAAAGAAAACACACACAGAACTGAATGTAAATGTGTTTTTGGGAGTCCAACCATTAGATGGTCATGCGGCGATCGTGTGAGAATTCACGGAACCAACGATAACGCTCGAGACGCTCCTGCAGCGCCTCACCAAACACATACAAACGCACGGGCATATAGTCTATGTCGTCGTCCTCATCGTAATCAGAATCATATTCCCCATCAGAGTACTCCTCATTCGAGAGCAGCACATCCACGACAATGAGGCAGTGCAGCAGATAGATGATGCTGCAGACCAACGCGGCCACCGCCTGCGAGCGTAGATACTCAAAGAATGGATGCACAGGCCGCTCCGGCATCTTGGGATCTCCCATGCCAATGTACATCATGTGAAAGTCCATTTCGGCATCCTTCAGCGTCATCAGCGAGATGATCACATACAAAACGCAGCCGGTGAGGGTGCGCAGGATCTCCTCCATTATGCTGGCCTTGTTGCCAGTGCACACATTAATGCTGGCAAAGATTGTCAGCACCGTGTAGATATACAGCGTGATTGTGTAGAAGTAGTGCGTCACTTGATCCAACACGGGCAGAAAGCTCAGATCCTGTGACATGAAGCCGCGTATATGAAAGCCCATCAGCATCATGTTGACCACCGTTTCGGCGGTATAAAACAGGAATAATACCGGCCGCATTGTAGAAAAACTTTTAGAAATAAACTTCTGACAGTGCTGGCAGGGCACACGCCGCCTCAAGGTTTCCGAATACTCACAGCTGGGTGGGAATCTGTGGCTGACACATTGCCGTCAATATTCCGCGTCATAAGCATCGCCTGCAAGCAGAAGTAAAGCATGTTAAAAAGTGCGCTAAAAGGACACCAAATAGAAGGATACACAAACCCCAAATTAGATGTTGATGCGCCCACCATTGGAGAAGTCGCGAAACCAGCGATAACGTTCGAGTCGCTCCTGTATGTAGACGCCACAGAAGTACAGGCGCACGGGTATGTAGTCCATATCCTCGTCTGAATCATCGGATGTGTCATAGATTTGATAGTCAGCATCCTTGTACGACAGCATTACGTCAATAACGATGAGACAGTGCAGCAGGTAAATGATGCTGCAGACCAATGAGCACACTGCCTGTGCGCGTAGATACGCAAAGAAGGGATGGACAGGCTTCTCGGGCATATGGGGATCACCTATGCCCAGGTACATCATATGGAAATCATTCTCCACATCCTTTAGCGTCATCAGCGAGATAATCATATACAATATGCAGCCCGCCAGGGTGCGTAGGATCTCCTCCAGCAGCACCGATTTGTGCCCGGTGCACACATTAATGCTGGAAAATATATTGAGCACGGTAAAGATATAGAACGTGGCCGTATAGAAGTAGTATGGCGTTTGGTCCATTGGTGACAGGAAGCTTAGATCGAGCGACATGAAACCGCGTATATGGTAGCCCATCAGCATCATGTTGACCACCGTCTCGACGGTATAGAACAGGAACAGTACGGGCCGCATCGTTATGGCAGGGCACTGGGGGCACTCCTTCTGACAGATCTCGCACAGAATGTTTGACAGGGTCCGACAAGGCACGACACGACACGACACGCTTTTGTGTTGTGTGAGTCCGTCTCGTCTCAGTCTCGGTCGCAGTTGGAAAGTGCTCATCATAAAAAAAAAACCACTTCACATTTGCTGCCTGCTTCTGGTGCTTCTGTCTCCAAGTGCCGCTGCCGTTGTCGTGGTTTGCTGGAAACAGTAGCAACATTTTCTTGGCAGTTTGATGCTGTTGACTGCTGTTGACGGCGATTATGTTGATGACGCGAGAGACCGCAACGAATTTACGCGCAATTCTCCACCGTGCTTCAGCTCAAGTGTCGAGTAAGCATTTAAATATACGTACAAACACAACACGTCCATAACATGTAGCGCCAAAATGTTAGTATGCCAAGGCTTAGCTACTGTATTGAGTTCTCCCCATCATCGATATCTGCAACAGGAAATCTTAATTAAGTAATTTCTTTATATTTTTTGTACAATTCTCAATGTTATGCCTGCAACGGTTGTTGACACCAAAACAGTGCTGCACAACGTTCAATGCTACTTTTTTTTTACATTTCCTAATTAAATACCAATTATACTTTTGGTATTGTCTTATTGCACTAATGCCACTGACCTGTGAGTCCCGCCGTTTTAGTTGAAATATATTCTTATTCTAATATTTTTCCTTGAGGGTAAAATAATCTTGGTCAAACACACACAGAAACCTTTACAGGCAGCAAAGGAAAATACAAATCAGCTTCTGGGTCTGCCTCATTCTGCAGTTTGTGGCCGCCACTGGATTGCCCATTGCCTTTTGCCGGCGAGTGTGTGTGCGTGTGTGTGTTTGCGCGCAAAGTAAAAGGGTTAATTCACTTGGCCACAGCTGAGAAGGAGCCTTTTCGACTGCGTCATCTCTCTTGTGGCTTCTTACTTGCGGTCGCGTCGTCGTCTTCGTCCGGTCGTGGGTGGGGGCGGCAGGGGGGCACACAGTGGCTGCTGCAATTTTGACAAGCGAACAGCGTTAAGCGAGTTTAAGTGGTTGCCGAGGCGAGCCACAAAGGCTTTTCGTCTTTGCCTTTATCCCCCAGTCAAAATTCCAGGGATCACAAATGAGAGATGGCAAGAGGACCCCCCCTGCCGGCATTCGTTGTCTCCCCAGCACAGTAGTCGAGTTGAACTTAAGCGCGTGTGTGCCCCTGAATGTCCCCTCGCTGGATTTGTTGGTTTACATATTTCGAATGCTTTCGCGAGTGAATTCGACGGCCATCTTGAAACATTCGTGCGCGTAATTAGGCCTAGAACTAAACATAACCTCAATAAATGTGTGCCAAAAGAACCAACACAAATATAATAATCACCCTCCCCCTGCACCTCGCTCTCACAATTAGGAGAGCCTAAACTCTTATGTAATCTGCAAATTGCTCGCGTTACGCCTCTGCCAGGGGGGGCATGGCAGCCGGCACAGCTAAATGCAAGTGCATAAATAACAATTATTGCGGCGCTGCAGAAGCAGCAGCAGCAGCAGCCAACAATGATAGGCCCGGGCAGCGCTCTCAGGTGTCAATTGTGGGGCTGTGCAACGTGACCGGCGGCCATTTTGAGCCGGCCAAAGCGCATACACTGATCGCCATATATCGGCGGCATATAATGCCCGTTGATTATTATGTTTACACTTGGCTTGCAGTTATGCGGGCCCGCAAAATGCTGACCGAGATTAGCTGGTGCTAGTAGTACCCCCAGTAATGATCTCCGCCCGGCCAAAAAGAAATCTCAATGCAAATCAACGGCAATTAATAATTCATCGCCCGCTGGGGCCTCCTTCCACATCGCGTCATGGCAATTATGTGGCTCCGGTCGTGAGAGCGGTGGAGAGAGTGGGACACACATAGAAGCTGCAAGTGTAAGGAACCCGTAATACAATGCAAGTTAGAAAAGTGTATGTGCAAGTGAGAGGGGAGATATGCAAGTTACACAGACACACACACCCAAATGGGAGGAGAAAGACCCGTTTAGTGGGGTCAAATCTTTGCACATTTTTGGTATTTTCTTTTGGCAAAATGCGTGGGTGGTATTTATTGTTAAATGGTGCTGTAAAGTACTAGATCTTGGATAAGTCACTGATCGATTGTCAAACGGTGCTGTAAAGTGCGAGAACTAGTAGCAAAAGCGGGCTTAAGGATTTTTGAAAGTAATATTCTATTACTTTACAATCCCCACTCGCATATCAAACTAAATCTATTCCTATATTCAATAAAATAAATGTAATATGCAAAACAGCCGGACAACTGCTACAGCAGCGGCAGTACAAACTGCTCCAGTGGCCCGCCTGTCGTCCAATATCAGCAAATTTGCAATAAAATATTTGTCTGGCCGTCGCTTTCCGTTTGCCATGAGGTTGTACTCGTACGAGTACCAGCTACAAGAGGTAGGCCAAACAGTGGGTCGTCTAGTGGTCGCCGCCTGGTGGCCGGCCAGCCGTCGCGGCTACTGCAAATTATTTATTTGCACCTTTCGCCGCCATCGTCTGCGACTTGGCTTCTCCTCTGTTTCCTCTCCTTGCCTCTTCCTCCTCCTGCTGCTGACTGCGAACTGCATTTCCATTTGCTTATCAAATCGCTTGCAATCGCCCGAGTGAGAAATGCAGGGCAAATATAAATATTAGCTGGCTGGCCACAAGGAGTGACGGTAGGCATGGTGAGGTTGGGGAGGGGATCTAAGACTGGCGTATGAAATTAGGCGCTGCCAATGCGCCGCCAGCCATTCCCGACCTGTCCGATATATGAAAAGTGTGAAAACGAATTAGTGGCCAAGGCGAGCTCAGGGAACAGCAAAGGGGAGTGCGCCTGCCCCACCCGACTGATAGAATGAGGGCTGTAGAGGTCGCAAAAGTTATTAAAGATTTTGATATGGAGAGATTTCTCATTGGAAACTTTTTACGTTACTTAACACTCCCTTGCCGCTGGTAGACTTATCGAATTATCGTAAATACTTCGATAGGAATCGATGAAAAGACTCACAAGATTGAATTTCCAGTCGTTTCACAACAATTAATTTATTGCCGCTCTTCGATCACTACTCCCATATTTTGTTGTTGTCTTTGAACAACTTTCAACACACATGTCGCTTGTTTACCGACGCAACGCAACGCAACGCGTCGTCGTCGTGCTCCACAAATGCCAACTCAGAGAGAACCAGAGTTAAATTGTCACTTGCACATGGGCGCCCAATAATTATAACAATGGGTGGGCCCCCCAGCAAATAGACGACCGACCCAACGATAGACGTAACCATGGAGCTGTAAACTGCATCATGTTCACAAATTTGTTTGGCATTCCGCCGCGGCGGGATAGAACTGACAAAATGCCCAAAAAAAAAAAAAAGCCAAACCGAAATGCAGCCTAGACGCCACGCCGCTTTTTATTTTGGACATATTGTCCAAGTCCGTCCGTGGCCATCGTCACATATGACAAATTTTGTTGTTGAAAATCGTGTAGAGCTCTGTGTGTTGCGTGTGTGGCTTACGGGGTAGTGCGTTTCGTGGCATGGTGTGGTGTGGCATGGCGCATGCGTGGAGTCGGTGACTATGACAAATCGCCACATGGCAGGCGGCCAATTAGCAAGAAGAAAAGTCCGTCCCAGACTGGTTTGCTATCGATATGCCACCTGATAGACTTAAGATAAATGATACCCCAAAGGCGCAGGCTAAGAAGCTTCTTTATTCCATAAAGAAAGGAGATCTCAAATGTTTTTTATGGATTATTTGGCAGGCGTCCCGGGACTGGGTGGTTCCCTGAATAAAAACTGAACATGCTGCAATGGGCTGTAGTCCTTTTTGAAGCGCTCCACTTGCAGCACATCCACGCGGTCCGACCAAAAGCTGCGAAACTATAAGAAAAAAGGTTTATGAGTTATAAAAAGAAACCTGCGTTAAATGAGAGTTTCCTCACATTCTTTTTATATGCCTCCCAAATGTCGGGAGAGCCCTTGAACTTGATTTTCAAAGGATACGATTTCTTTTCATGCCGCCGCAATTTGTAGATTTTAGACAGCAGTTCCTCTGTCAAGCTAGGGCAGTGGATAAACACAAGTTGCCTTAACTTTGAGTTGGCCTGAATGAAGTCCAAAACATGGTCATCCAGCAGGTTCGAACAGTGGCAGAACACGGCATGTTTATGGGTCACAGGCAGGCCCAAACTTAACATTTCCTGATTGCCAAAATTACAATCGATCAGCTCCAGGCCATCCATATAGGGACAGCGATGCAGCTCCAGTGGTATTAGCTCTTGGGCGCTGTTTATGAAACTGCAATTCAAGCGAAATATTCGCAAATATTCCTCACGCTCTTGTATAACGTGCCTTAAATTCTTCATCATATCCTTGCATTCAGAGAGCTTTTTAATTTCCAAAATCTGCAATTTTGGTAGACAGAAAATCTCCTCTTTGTTGGCCAGAAATACGGATTGATTGATCATTAGATTTTGCATCTGCTGACACTGCGAGATGCCCTTGATATCGGGTGAGTGGGAGCCCAAAAAATGCAACAGTCTCAGAGGCAGACCACTCGCTAGAATGCCCTTGAGTACCCAGGTCTCCACTTCGCCATGGAAACGCAGCTCCTGCAGCTGCTTGAACCCCTCAATGAAGCACACCTCCAGCGGCGAATGAATCTCCAGACGGCGGAGATTCCGCATCAGCGCAGGCAACGCATGAAATGGCCACTGGGGGAAGGTGGTGGTTCTACGCTGCATGGCAGTGCCCCATGTAATCTCACAGCGCTTGACGTTCGGCAGCTCCCTGATGCCCGCCTGATCCAGGATATTCAGCTCATCCTGCAGCTGCTGACAGCGAAAGTGTGCGCCACGAAAGTCCGCATACATTTTTTGTAAAAATGTCTGCAGATCCGAGCCACGCAACTTGAGCTCCATTTTCTGCAGATCCAGACAATTGTATTCACTCTTCCAAATGGCATTACACGCATCGGGCACATTCTTGTACACTCTGCCAAGAATCACCTGCTTGCTAACATCCAACTTTTTGATAATTGTCTGAACTTCTGCGAGTTCCTGTGCCTCCATTGATGACTCGCTGGCGGTTGGATCACTGGAGTCACTTTTCGTGAACTTTGATTTAATTTTTGCAGGCATATTTGTGGTTGATTTTTGTGTATATTTTGACATTAATTTAGTGAGTGAAAAATATATGATTTACTACTGTGTTAAGGGTTTTTTTGTTTAGACTGCTGAGGGCTACGAATGGGAAGCTAGAAGCATTGAAAAACATTCAGAAAATAGTTGGATTCTTACTTGATTTTCCACCACAAATTCTGGACATCGTTCTAATGGCAATTGGATTGCTTTTACCACCCTGCTGCGATCAAGCAACTAACGAGCCATGGATATGTTTTCATTTCAAACGGATTTTGTTTTATGGCAACCCAGGCATGGGGTCGATCGTCAGACCACT